TAATAGTCACCCAACTGTTAACAGCACAAGATAAATTGTCCTAGAAATTATGGCGATAAACACCAAATATTGCCGTTTTTGGGTCCATTTTCAGGTAATATTGATATTGGCACAGTAATTCATGATCGCCCTCTCAGTCAGAGACTAGAAAACTTTAGTTTTGTACAGAACACTCTACTCTACAAGAGGAAGACATAAATATTTAAAATAAAACACAACCGAGAATAATAAATAAAATGGATTATGAAGTCTTGAACACCAGCAGCAGGCAGATGAAAAACTAAATGGAAATTATCGAGCTCATTTTAATTTGTTAAGCGATTAATTGATTGCTTATTGCGACAGGATTGGCTGACTTTCAGAGTTTTGCGAAGGTAGAAAAAAAACTTTGTTTGTCCAGTAAGTATCGGCTGGAAGTTGAGGAAATGGGTCTGATTATCGGTGCAGCCTGTTCTGCTCTGACGCAGCAGGCTTTAGTATGCAGGATGCGACCCGCTGGAGGTTCTACCTTGTCTGCAGATCCTTTACTCCCAGACAACAACCTTGCTATGTTTCCATGGCGATCAGATGAAGGTGCCGCCCCTCCTCCTCCTCACCTCTTCGTGAGCCGCAGTGCCACGGCGACGGACGCAGGGATGCTGGGACACTTCCCTCCCCGCAAGCTTAGAGTGGTACGGTCCAAAGTCAAGGTCACCATGTGAGTGAGTGAGGTAGGAGAAACCGAGGTGTTGATGTGAGCTCAGATTCAGATTCACCCACCGCCTGAAAGCTGATCCTTTCAGGCCTCCTACTTTTCCATCTCAGTCCGTCCCAGATATCAGCTGAGACGGCACCGATGTGTGGACACGTCACCTCACAGCTGGAAGGGGACGGCTGTGAAGTCACACAGCAGGCAACACACACACACACACACACAAACACACACACACACACATATACACATACATTCCCCCTGGTTGTGTATTGTGTGAACGGTCCTGTTTTTCTGAACGCCAGATTCTCCGGTGCAGCGTTCTGCTGGCTAACCTGAGCCGTCCCTCCTTTTGGACCCTCCAGATATAGTCCTGGTGTCCCCTTTCAGTCAAAACGTGGACACAGGTTGTGTTAGCATGAGGCTGAGGGTGAGGTGGGCGTGATCACCGTCTCCAGGCAGAAAAGGGACGACTTTCCTCCTCGTTAAAGCAGGCAGTGGCGATGGCGTCCCTCCTGGCCCGTTGGACGGTCCTCCCGTTCTGTGGTGTGTTCTGAGTCAGCTCTGCTCCACTGCTGTGGTTCAACAGCAGCGAGGAGAAGTGGATCTGTCACTCGTACACAGAAAAGCAACAACCAACCAGAAAGGAACAACAGGAATTGCAAGGTGCTGGACTTGTTCTTTGTGTAAACGCGGCAGGAAGAAATGGGGGAACACTAAAGGGAAGAGTTCTGACATTAACAGGGTCGTCTAAAAATAATTTCATAGATTAAACAAATATCACAAAATAGATCGGACATGTATGATAAATTAAAATGTGCTCAATAATTTCCATGTTCATCATTTATCATTTTTTCTTTCCTTCCTACCAAAAACTGGATGAAAAGTTTTTAGCCCAGTGCTTTGGTCTCAACCAGCTCCTCCTTTTATTTATTTTTTTAATGACAATTTTGTTTTCAGAAGCTTCATAGTTCAATTTGTGTTGTTTCTATTTATCTTTTTATTTTGTATATTTAAATGTCTTCCAGTTCCAGTGTTGAATGTTCATTAGAGTTTAAAGTTTATTGATCTTTGATAATCATTATTCTCAAAGATCAATAAACATTATAATTTATAATGTTTATAATTATTATTATGCCATTACCATTCTATTACTGGAAATGATCATTATATCGTTTATTGCAATAACTTCTGGGACGATTTATCGTCCAGGAAAAATGTGTTGCCATGACAGTCGGCCTACAGACATAAAATAAATATGGCTGATCCTAACTAGTTGAGCATTGTAGTCAGATCTGCACCGATTTGATTTTCTGAGGTGTTCTAACTTTGTCTGGTTTCACACTTTACTTGATAATAAAGTGTTTGAAACCAAAAAGTATAGTTCATTTAGGCTGTTCATTATAACACATTTATTGGATGATAAATTGTCTCAGAAATGACTGCAATAAATAACAATACTGTCATTTTGACACAATTTTCTGCTGATATGATAAAAATCTTCTTACTGATGCAGGTATACCCAGTCAAAGATGGGAAAAATTTTACACTTTAGCAGGAAACGTTTCCAATATCCAAAATAAACAAACAACAACAAAGTCTCAGTAACTGAAACTGCATTAAAAAAAATAATCAGGGAATCATCTTAGAGACGGGGAAAACAGGCAAAAGTATCAGGTAGTGCAAATTACTTTGTATTGGCTGTCAAATTTTTGCCTTACACTCTAAGATCAGATTAGCTCTACAAAAAGTTGGATACTCCTCATGTGGCATAATTGACTATAAACTATATTTGACTGTAGGACAGAACAAAATCCTAAAAAAATTAAATGATGAAGTATAGGCTACATCTAGACATTATTGTGTTAGAACCTTGATTTGTTTCTATGCAACAACACAAAAATGGGACTGAAATTGGACATGACTGATGTGACTAAACTAAGCCGTTTTTCCTCTTCAACTCAAACAACAAAAAAACATTGCCCAGCAGGAAGTGTGTCCAAACATCCCTCCCCAACACCAGCAGCAGCACCCACACAGTCTATTTCTGTCTTCCTGTTGCCTAAACGTTGTCCCCCATATTTAGCTTCAAGTTCACTGACAGTGAAACCGGCAGAGGCCATGTGACAACACGGATCATCAACACTTTTAGAAATGCATCTGTTTTAACCTGTTCTCCACTTCTCCTTGTCCTCCCACCAGTACGAGGATGCCGCCCAGGCAAGATCGTCCAGATGACGGAGGCAGAGGTGCGCGGCCTCTGCATCAAATCCCGGGAAATTTTCCTTAGCCAGCCAATCCTACTGGAGCTGGAGGCTCCGCTCAAAATCTGCGGTAAGCTCCGCCCCCTCCCTGACTAAACGTTTTCCTGTAAGGATCCCGCAGCATGCTTTCCGTTTCCTCCAGGTGACATCCATGGACAGTACACAGACCTGCTGAGGCTCTTTGAGTATGGCGGCTTCCCTCCAGAGGCTAACTACCTGTTCCTGGGCGACTACGTGGACAGAGGGAAGCAGTCGCTGGAGACCATCTGCCTGCTGCTGGCGTACAAGATCAAATACCCCGAGAACTTCTTCCTGCTCCGGGGCAACCACGAGTGTGCCTCCATCAACCGCATCTACGGCTTCTACGACGAGTGTAAGCTCCGCCTACTCCATCTACTTCCTGTTTTACTGTAGGGTTTGGAACAGAGAAGCATCCCAAGTACAGGGGTTGCAGTTTATTTCAGTTCTGTTCAACAGAAGGAACATTGAAAATACTATTTGAAATTTCAACAAGTTTAAAAAAAAAAAAAAAACAGTCACAAACTCTTTTCACTAAGGCATCCAAATTTTAGCTATTTATGCAGAAACCAATAGCAACCACTTTTTTCATAAAAACTGATATTTTTATTTTTCCTGCTAACCAGTAAGCTAAAAATGCTACATTTTAATGATGGTAACCAAGATTTTGTTGAAAAGTAAATTATTGTAAATCTGCCTTAAAATAAAGACTAACAAATAGCCTAATTTATCTATTTGTTAGCTAACAAATTAAGCTATTTGTTTACTAGCAAACAAACTATTTAAGAAATTAAGCTAAGGAATAGCTTGTCTTAATAGCCAAGCTATTTGTTAAGAAATGACTAACAATTTAAGCTAACGAATAGCTTAATTTTTTAGGTAACAAATGGCTAATTTTTTTCTTAGACAGTTGTTAGCTGTCTGTTTTCCGTGTCTAGGGAAGACGGTGAAAAGTGGCAGGTGGTGTCAAACATTTGCAGGATTTCTCAACATGACTTTTTGACAATATTAAAGAGGAGCTTCTCTTTTTTGACTCATTTCAATTTATTATGCAATTAATTGATTTACTGCTTATGGACCTTACCACAGGGTCCGCGTTTCATTGGCTAATGCCCATTTGACGTCACTGCGCAGCTACCACGTGCTTGACCGTCTCAAAACAAAAGCTACAGTAGTAAACACATGCTAATGTAGATTGTGGACTAGCAGAACACAATCTACACAATCAAAGTTTTTGTGACAGAACTCAAATAAGAATGGTTCTCCACGGTGAGTGGGGAATCTGTACAGGCGATGTCAGGTATCCTGATCGTATTTGTGAAAATAAAATTGACAGATTTCCCAAATCTTATTCGGAATGCCTTGCTTGGATCAAAGCTTGTGCACGACCGCATTTGCAGCTCAACCGTCGTAAGATCAATAAAAACAAAGGAGTATGCGCTGGTGTAAGTATTATTACTTTGCTTTCTTTGTGTTTAGTGAATGGGGATATTCTGAGAGGCCCTGCGAAAGAATGGCGACCTGTCCAGGGTGACAGGTTGCCCCGGAACGTTAGCTAGAGATAGGCACCAGCACCTCCCGATCCCTTTTGAATTTTGAAGCTTGAAATATTGTAAGGTCTTAAGGAGGCCTATAATGTGTGAACAATGACCCCCAAGTCTGAAAAAAGTCAATAAAAACATCCATTATGAAAACCTTTTAGCTAAGTACAGCATAATGGCAGTACCAATACAACTTCCACACCTTGAATCCTGTCTGTTACACAGTCTTACGTTAGCTGAACAGATCAATATGCAATGTGTACCATATCAGACATGCATTAAAGATTTTATTTTACCTGAAAAGGCTTTTTACGAAACTGTAATCGTGTTAGCCACGCTAGCATCGAGTACCGAGTATCAGGCCTAGGCACACTCAAACAGACAACAACAGGAATCACTGATTTCAAAAGTAACCCTCAAAACCATGAATGCCGACTTACCCAGCCTTGCAAGAACAATAGGCTTCAGTGATCTTGTCCACAGCTATATTTATGCTGAGGGTGTAAGGATCTGCTGTTTGCCTCATTGATTGGTAGCATTTAGCTGCGACGCGCACAATGTTGGAGGCATCCCGTGGCTCAAACAGCTTGATTTCGTCCAAAAAAGATGACATGAACTTGTTTGTTCCCCTGTCCATTGTCGTGGCTGATATTTTTTTGAAAATCCGGCAGAAATGCTACACTAATCGACTCAGAAGTACTTTGTAGAGTCAGTTGAAACGAAAGACGCCATGTTTACACATAGAAACTAAGCTCCGCGAGGCTTTGTTTGTGAGACATGCAGCCACGTGGGATTTTAGGGGGCGTTTCTGGGCGGGGCTTGGTAAGGCCCATTGTGACAAGCTTATGTGTTCATGAGTTGACAGTGGGCTCTTTCTACCACTCTTGTTGATCCTGCAGGTAAACGCAGGTTCAACATCAAACTGTGGAAGACTTTTACTGACTGTTTCAACTGCCTGCCCATCGCCGCCATAGTGGATGAGAAGATCTTCTGTTGTCATGGAGGTATTGAGACCTGGGAGTGTTGCAGGTTCAGGTTTATGATAAAACAAAAGTCCTGTAACCCTTCTCTCTCTCTTTCTCTCTCTCTCCATCAGGACTTTCTCCTGACCTTCAGTCTATGGAGCAGATCAGACGGATCATGAGACCCACAGACGTGCCTGACACAGGTAGCTTAACACACACACACACAGCAGACTAGCTGGGCTTCAAACCAAGCAAAAGGAGAACTTAGAAATAAATGGAGGGGTAAAAGTGATCACGCTGCCTCACATCCAAATCTGGTACATCTGGACATTTCTTCAGTGTCTTTAGAAGTGAACTGTTCCCTTTCAGAGAAGAGCATCAAACAAAAAGATTGCATGACAAAATAAAACATGTCTTCAAATGATCTCACCAAAGGTTGAAAAACTTCACACCAGCCTGAGGCTAGTTTTTTTTTTTTTTTAATAAAGGCAAATGGTCCTTTTTTATTTTTCTACAAGAAAAATCCTGAAGGATGATGTGTCCATCAGTTTGTGACCGTCTCCTCTAGTATCATTATCCAGAACACTTCTGTAAGGTTACAGAGTGGCCTAGTCAAAGTTTGAATCCAATTGAGATTCATGGTTAACCACTCATCAAAGACAAATTGCAAGTTTTGCCAAAGCTGTGGAGTCGAGGAATTTCTCTGACAACCTGATGTAGTCTGAAGGAAATGATTAAAAAAAAGAAGCAACAAATCATCTAATGCAATTCAAGAATAAATGAGAAATGAAACCTGGATCAGAGTGGAAAGGAGCACTAAGTTCAGTCTGACAGAAGCCAGGCTGCCATGTTGCTCCACTGGCCCTCTGACCACCAGCAGCCGAGGCGGGTCAAGTGTTTTTCCCAAGAACACGACAGCAGAGGTGGATGGAGTTGGAATTGAACCGGCGACCCACTGACTCCTACCAACTCCTACCACCTTCATGACAAAAAACACCCCAAAACAATAAAACATTTAAAATGGACAAATGCCGTTTAGCTCTGTGGGGGATAAGTAAATCCTGGCGGCCTGCCAGGCTGATAATACACTGGAGAAACCCTGGAAGCCATTTTGAAGGTTTTGTGACTCCAGTAAACCACAGTCCCAACTAAAAAAGTTGGAAGAGTGAACCTTCCCAGAAATGACTGGCCGGTTTTAGGTTTAGGGTTTGTCCCTTGGTTTACATAGTGCCTGGTTGGTTTGAATAGCTGGTTTCTCTTCTATAAAACCTTTATTTGAATTCAACTCAGGCCGACTCCTTATCTACTGGTAACTGGACCAGAGGAAGAGGAACCTCTCTGTACAACACATTTAAGTGTGAAAGCAAAACTGTATTAACTTAGTAAGGAGGTGAAAGGTTTTTCTCAGCCTCTCCTACGGTGGCCTGTTTTGTCCATTTTCCCTTTGGTCCTGATGAACCAACATGAACTCAGGTTCTTGTGAACTCTTCCTGTTTCTCTGCTGAATGATTTGTGGTCTAATGTAAGAACAGGAGCTTCCCCAGCCTTATTCCCCCTTATCTACTTGTAGCTGGAACAGAGGAAGAGGAGCCTCTCTGTGTTCACCCCCTCATTAAACCTCTTCCTGTCCTTATAAGGCAGCTGGAGTTGAGACCCTTGCAGCCTCTGTCTCGCATCCTCTTATGGAGTTTCATCATGACTCTGTGTCCGCATGTGAAAGCTTTCCAAACATCCCTTTAAAAAAAAAAAAAAAAAAAAAGTCTACCAGGTTTTCCCTGCAACCAGGTGACTAGATAGTGACAGACAGATGTTTTATTTCACTTCTTTCCCCCTGCAGGTCTTCTGTGCGACCTGCTGTGGTCGGACCCTGATAAGGACGTACAGGGCTGGGGGGAGAACGACCGTGGCGTCTCCTTTACATTCGGTGCCGACGTGGTCAGCAAGTTCCTCAACCGTCATGATTTGGACCTCATCTGTAGAGCTCACCAGGTACCACAGCTCCTTCCTACCAGCCATCCCCCCTCCCCCTTTGTAAAAGCCTTGGCTGATTCTTGTGTCTGACGCCCCCAGGTGGTAGAAGATGGGTATGAGTTCTTCGCCAAGCGGCAGCTGGTGACCCTGTTCTCAGCTCCCAACTACTGCGGGGAGTTTGACAACGCCGGTGGCATGATGAGCGTGGACGAAACCCTGATGTGCTCCTTCCAGGTCAGTTACCATAGTAACTGATCCAGGATCTTTTAGAACCCAGATTATCACGTGAATTGATTCTGACAGGAAGTTGTTGCTTAGTACAGAGGCTCCCAAGCCTTTCCACTCCATGCCCCCCCCCAAACAGCACTGGTATCTCATTTTTGTCACTATTCTATAATTATTATATTGTAGCATAAATTCAGCCTCATATGTTCTGGTTTTAGTTGACAAGGAATATTTAGGGTTTTTGCAGCGGAATCCTCCTCAGCTTTACTGTTCCTTCTGTTGCCATTCATAAAGATGAGCATTACAAAACACATTTCAGTAAGTTATTTTAACTTGTATTTTGCAATAATGATAGAAATTTCGACTAAATTTCTTCAATTAAATTTGTTTTGTTTTTACTTTTTCCATCACCTTCCCTCCAACTTTCTGAGCGCCCTCTGGTGGTCCCCTGAGTTTACTGCAGACCCCACTTTGACAAACACTGGTTTGGGGTTCCTTCACAAGCTTAAAATATGGAATTTTTTATGTGGATTTGGATCATTTTCCAAATCCACATAAGAATGGGAACATGAAAATTCAGAATATTTAGAAAACAAAATCTTCCTTTTCTATTCATTTAACAATTATACACAACTTGGTGTTGATTCATGTAGTGAAATCATAACAGAAAGCATATCATTCAGTGTGTTGTGTTGGCCACAGTGCTGTTAATGCAAATATCTGTCTTGTACCATATTAGATGTCGTGAAATTCAGATATGTTGCCGTGGAGATGTTTGACACTAACATTTATTTAAAACTCAAGAGTTCAGCTCATGTTTCCAGGTAGAGCTGTTGGTCCAGTAATTGATTTTTTTCTTCTTCTTCCTCCTCCTCCCAGATCCTGAAGCCGTCTGAGAAGAAGGCCAAGTACCAGTATGGAGGGATGAACTCCGGCCGACCCGTCACGCCGCCTCGCACAGCCCAACCCCCAAAGAAACGATGAAGATGGACAGACGGACAGAAAGATGACAAGATGATACGATTGTCTCCTTCTGGCTTTTCACATTAAAGAAGTAAAAGCAACACTTGGCAGAGAAGGAACCAGAACCCCTCATTTTAAAAAAACACACCCCACTCTCCAGAAACAACTTTTTTTTTTTTTTTCCATTTAATCTCTTGAACTGCTGTTGTACTCTTCTTCTTCTTGGTCTAAGCTCCTCTTTCTCATCCTCCCTCTGCATCTATGTAACATTTTTAAAAGGTGTTTCAATAAGACAACCAGTCATTCTGTAGCATATCTTTATATATATTTTTGTCCTCATTTTTTTGTTTTTTGTCTTAACAGAATGACAGCAGTTTTTAGTTTACCACATGTTCTTTCTCCCCTGCCTGTACAGACACCACAGGTATTAATGACGACTGCTGGGTTTTCAATAAATAATACAGGGAATAAATCCCATTCTGTGTGTCTTCCTTTTATCTCTACAGCTCATTTAAAGAATAAAGTCATCTGTAATTTAAAACTGAAACCTCCTGACATGTGAGTGGAACAGCCTGAAGACAAATATATTTATCTGAAACCAGTGATCAGTGAATGCTACATTTTAAGCCCTACAAACCACCCAAAACAAAAGGCTTTACACCCAGGCCTGTCACGATAAATCTTCCTGAACGATTAATTCTCAGATTATTGCAATTAAACGATAATATTGTTTGAAGACCTTTTTAAACTGATGTACTGGTAATTACAATAATGCAAGCACATCCTGACAAAAAGAAATGCACTTTACTTTCAAAAGAACAATTAACAGGTAAACAAAACATCCAAAAACAAAAAAAAAAAATGCACTGGAATAAAAACTAAAGATAAAACCAAAGTGGAAATAAAAACTACATTCAACCAAAAGAGAACAGATTACAAAGACTGTATACTATATTTCCCTTCAGTAATCATTGGATTTAGATAAAGATGGGCAAATTCAACTACCTGGTCCAATAGTTCACTCCTCCCTTATGCTAATGAAACGAGGAAGAGGGGTCAGTGGAGAGAACCGGAGGTGAGCCTTTTTTCGTTCAATGTCAGAAAAAGGAAGAAACGATAAAGCCGATAAATTAAAATGAGGTCGATCATTTTCATTTGTGATTGATTTATTGTAACGGACCAATTTATACCAAAGTTTAATTCACATTCAGATTGGTAACCTAGGCAACATGGGATTACAGATCTCAATAAGCCTCACAGTCATCTCACAATCACTTCAAAACATTTTTCCTTTCACTCAATCTTCCATTAATACGCTCAAGCATCAAGTCTGCCGTTTTTCCTGTCACCTATGTAGACCGGAACATTTCTGTATTAAATATTAGTCTCATGATATTCTAACATGAAGCGACTTTTGGGTTTTCATTAGTTCTGTGGATCAATATAATCTACATTCAGATTGGTGTGTAATTAATGTAAATTAGGTTTTTCGTTTTCTAATCTGAGGACTTCATTCTTCATTCAAACCTTGTCAAAAGTACTCAAAGGCATTAATAAAATATCTTTTATAAAATACATTTTTGTGCTATTGCAGAGATGCAATATTTAGTTATTTTTCTCTGCATTAGTCTAGGTAAATTTTCAATAAAATACTATTTAAAGTCATATCTTGTGTTGGAAAGGGATGTGTGAATCCTAAATCAAAAACTTAGTGTTTTGTATAGAAGGCCATTTCTGCCATAAAAGAAAAAAATAAATGTCCAACAAGAAGTTCTAATTTCACATTTTAAAGTCAGAACTATAAGATGCTGTAGAGAAACAGTGTGACCATCTCATAATTATGATTTTTGATGTCAAAATTATGACTTTCCTTTCATGGCAGGAATGGACTTCCATAGAGGTGCAAATTTGAAAAATCTAGAGAACATTTAGTATTTTCTCAGCAATAAGAGCAGGATTTGGGTCACACTCTTTGTAAACAATGCATTTAGCCAATTTTAATAAAACTACTAAAGATTTTGGTGCACCAAAGTCTGTTTTTTGATGAAAATCAACACGACTTAAGTAGAGCAAATATTTTCCTTTAAGATTTTAATTTTTATTACTTCACTCTAATCCTTTATAAACCAGCAGACATCACAGAATTACAGGATTCATTTATTGACAGGAACAATGAAAATATTCCCTTTGCTGAAACTGGTTTCTACTGTGAACGGCACAATGGATCACTACATGGTCATTTGGTTGGAACTGAAAACATCAGGGTGCCTTCTGTTGCTATGGATACAGATGGTATACGAAAACATTTTGCTTGTACAGTCTCATGTCATCTCCAAAGTGGGAACCGGAACATACTCCAGGTCGTGCGTTAAGGCAACAGAATCCTAAACTCCTCCAGAACATTCAAGTCTCTAAGAATCCATCGGTTCTGAAGGAACTGGATGTCATGCATTAGTCTTCATCTAACTGCAGTGAAGTTCTGCCGTCTCCTCACTGTGTTGTTGGTCCATTTTACAGTAAATGGAAGTTCAGCATAAATCACAAAAATCAGACACTTTCAAGGCTTTTTGTTTGCTTTTCTTCTGATCCCATTGTAAAGAAAATGTGTTGAAGCAACAGCTGCCACATTGTTGACATAAACAGGAACATAAACACACTGAAAATTATTTTTAGTGGTAAACAAACAAAACACTCCAGCGGTGTCAAAATGAGAAATAAAACATCATGAGTCGGCACACACTGTAAAGCACACAGAGTTCATCTGCCACTGAAACAACTGGTAGCAGGTGTTTCTATAACGGACTGGGAAAATAAAACCAATTCTTTTTACTCCGACTGAAAACCGTCTCGTTCCAAAGGTTAAAAAAGTATTTTATTTTCAATACTTTAAGAAAAAACTAAAATAGATTCCATAATTCTTTTTTTCTTTTTTTTTTCAGATGATGTGGAATCTCTAGATAAAACCCAAATGTTAGTTAAGCAGTTAAAAAGTTCAGATTTCAGACTTAAATGTTAAATAAATAAATAAATAAAATTGGGGAATTTGAATACGGAAAAACTGTTATTTATTTTTTTAAAGTTTGAAACTAAATGCGTAGGAACCGTCTGCTGCTTGGTCTTTACTCAGGAAATAAGCAAAGCTTCTGATCACATGGAGCCATGGGAACCAGCAGACTGGGAAAGAATGTTGGAACACAAAAAAATGGCACCTCACCAGTAAAATTTGATGAGGAAATAAACTCATAGATAAACAATGCTGGTACTGATTAGTCAATATGGCAACATGCCTCACAATAAACATTTTAGCCACCAGATGGCAGGATTTACCATCAAATTAGCTTGTACTGCTTAGAAATCGTTTTTTGTTTCGTTCAGCTTTACTTCCTGTTACAAAACAACAATGTACAAATAAAAAAATAGAAAAATATTTGTCTCAAAACAAACAACTACAAGCGATGAAAACCCATAAAACTGACGTGGTTTCAGAATGATCTACGGATTGTTCTCAATCGAACGTCTTGAAATGTTTCTCTGTTCCACTTACCAGCTGAACTTAATATGAAACTAATGGATTTGTTTTTAAACAGGAAACTGACAGCCACTCCTTTCAGGAGTGTGGTGATAGTTTTACCGTGCCGTTTCTATGGGAACTACACCAGACTCCTGAGGAGGAAGGACAGGGCGGCCCCGACGGACAGACCCAGGGCCAGGAAGAAGGTCATCAGGGCTCCTGCAGTCTCTGCATCTTTAGGCTCCACCAGTCTGGAGAAACACAACAGAACCAGTTGATTTTAGTCGCTAGTCACTAAAGACTATGTTGTTCAGTGTTAACATAACTAAAATACACATAAGTTTTCAGTTATGTTACACAGAAAAAGATTTTTCATTCAGTAGCATCAGAACAATAGTTGTGTTTGGGAACTAGAGGAGATTTTAGGGTTTAAGTTTTCCTGCCTTCTTGAAAATTATCAACCATCTTTGTTTTTGCTTCTTTGTCCCTTTATTGTTTGAGCTAATCAAATAAATCTTAATATCAGACAGAATTAACCTTATAAAGAGGAGTCCTCAAATGATAACTGCCTTGTTGAATCATGAATCAGCTGCAACATTCCCAAGTTGCATCCAGACCTGATTAGTCAGACCATCATGCACACACAGAACCTGTCTGACTGCTTAAAGTTCAAATGTTTTTGTTTTTTTTAGATGAGGCAATAAGTAAATTCCAGAACAGGTGAGAAACAGAGTTGATCTGAATGAGACAAAAAATGATATGGCCTCGTCAAAGTGTGGATTTACTTTGGTCTGAGATGCTGAGTTATGACCTTTGAAGAGGTCAACCAAGCTCAGAAATGTGAGCCGAAATGGCGACTTAAATGATGAGATGACTAAAATATCCAACAGCAAGAACCAGATTTGGGTCACTCTCTCTTCAGAAAGGCTCTCTGTATTTAACCAGGTTTAAAATAATTATAAGCAGATTTTTTTTAAAGTCTGTTTGAGTGGATGTCAGTCGATAAATGCGGTTCTATATTTTACGAAATTCAAGAGAAAGCAAGAAGCGTAGCTGTGAAAAGACAAACACTTTGTGTTGTACTTAATATTTTGCATTGTAGAAAAATGAAGACTTATTGTAGAAAAACAATTAAATTGAATTGTAAAAAAAAGTGGACCACAGAATCAGTGAAGAAACCACAAATGGCCCACGCACCACACTTTGGACACCCCTGCTTTCATATGTAGTCAGCTCATTTTTGTTTGATAGTAAAATTAGCTTGAAGATCTTAAATATTAAAGAGTGGCAAACAAAAAGAAAAGCAGAAAACTGAAGAAATCTGGAAAGGAACAAATCCTTTCCATTCGCACTGTATATCACCATGGCGACCCAGGAACGTCAATCACAATTACAGCAACAATGGCTGCAGATCATTTCCCTCCAGATTTATCTCCAGTTTAGCTGACAGCTGAGCAGCTGGTGGAGTTGTGAACCAAGTGGGACAGAGTTCAGGGGTCAGAGGTCAGCAGCTTGCTGCGGTGTACTCACTGCGGCGCGTAGGACATGGAGAGGCACACAAAGTAACCGCTGGACAGGGAGAAGAGCGCCATGATGACGGTGAAGATGGCGTCGTGAGAGAAGGCCACGGGCAGGTAGTAGCGCTTCTGAACGTTACAGAGCATCAGCAGGGGGATGAAGATCACCCTGGAGACCACCAGGGCCGGGAACACACGCGACTCTTTACCAGGCTGCAGGGGAGAGAGGAAATGTTTATTTCACATTATAATCCTCCCACAGGGGGATTCCTCTGGCATTTTGAAACCAAGTCTATCTCATGCATGACGGAGGGCCAATAAAGGCGTTACTAATCTCTTAAACTCTGATGCAATTTGTTCAGCCATGTTCTCTTCTTTTGGTTCTAGTGGTCTTTATTTGAAAGTGTTAATACAGGAAAGTATGTAAAGAGAGAGAGAGGAGACATGCGGCAAAGGTCACCAGGCCGGGAATCGAACCAGCGACGGACACGTCGAGGACTGAGGCCTCCTTATGTGTTCTGTGCTTAACCTTTGCGCCACCACAGCACATCCAGACTGATAAACCATCACAGATTAAACTACACACAGCTGGGCCGGCTGCATTAAATATTGCCACTTTTCTCATTTATAAGAAATAAAAATGATGCATTATTTTCCTTCGTGTAAGTCTCAGAACGTTTGCTTCACTACATAAACATGCTAGAACATCTGATTCTTATTTTTTACGTTTGTCTGTACAGCATCGTGTTTGAATTTATAAAGAAAATGGGAGGAAAAAATACTGGCTAAAACTGGTTGAACATATTGATCATATCAAAAAAGCAGGAAAGTTTTATAATTTCAAACAAAGATGACTATTTAGACCCTCTAAAAAGAAAAATAAACTGTCAGTAAGCTAAAAAAAAGAAACAGATGTCTAATAAAATATTGTGAGCTGTCAGTATTCAAACCCCATGCAAATGCTATTTACAGTCTTCTCTTTTAGCACACTGTAAAAACAAATATACATATTACAGAAAGAAGAAGGTAGTAAAATAAACAAATACAGTGAGACCAGCTGAAGCAGGTTGGCTAAGATCAGAGTCATTCTTGTTTTCTAGGGAAGCCAGTCAGGTTCTCACCCAGCGTATCCATGTGGTCACGGTCCGGCCAATCCAGTCGTGAATGTTGAAAACCAGGAAGCAACACACCTCGATGAAGATGTGTCCTGAGAGGAGCGACAATTTAATATGAGTAAAACGACGATATGCCGGCTCCATGTTGAACACAGATCTTCTCTGAATCGGCGCTGCTCACTCTTACCCCATTTTCCATGTGGGAATGCTGTTTTGACGTCAACAGTGACGGCGGGGAATACCGACAGAGTGACGGTGAACACAAACGTCACGCAGAATGCCATCACCCAAATCTGAGATGTATATAAAAAAATGGTTTGTATGTTTAAAGAAGCAGCAGAGAGAAAACAGGAGTTTTTTTTTGTTTTTGCCCAGA